GGGGGGGGACAGACAGAGCTGGCAGCCCTCGGGGGGTCTTCCCGTCGCCCCAGGGATGGGAGTGGACACTTGCCCAGCCATTTCTAGCAGCTTTTTTTTTTTTCTGGTTTGTTTTAAGTACACCGGTTCTGATAGCCAAGCTTTCTGTACTTCTTTCACCAACAGAAACTGCAGGAGGACATGCAGGAAGCAGTGGGTGGAAGCCAAAGACCAGGGTGGGGTGAATGCGGAGCTGGCAGCGTGGGGAGAAAGGCCCAGGTCAGCAGAGAGAGATGGTCAGGGAACAAGAGACAGAGAGAGAGACAGGGCCACAGGGGAACAGAGAGGCCAACAGGCCGAGACAGGAAGATGGTGAGGCAGGCAGGACCCAGACAGAAAGAGGACGAGTGGTCACTGGGCCAAGCTTGAGTGGACAGATGAGGCGAAGGGTGGGGGGTGGGGGGGCAGACTGTGACTTTAAAAGGGAAGGCAGCCTCTGACTCCATTTGGAGCTGATTCTGGCTAACCTTCCCACCCTCCCCAGCGCCAGAGTTATTTAAATAAAATCTCTCCCTCTGGGATTTTTGGCTTTGGCTTTGCATTGGGGAATAAGAGAAGCACCCTAGATGAAAGGACAGGGTGTCCCTCACCCCTGGATTCTGACTCCCCTGCTCCCCTGCTGGGGGGGCTGCTGCCCTTGTCTGGGGATGGGGGTGGGGGAAAGCCCGGAGCAGAAGAGATCTGGCCTTCAGGAGGCTTCTCTGCCACTCTGGTCCAACAGCTGATGCCACCCCCAGGGAGGCTTCTCTTGACACTTCTAATCCTAGGGGCAGGTGGCGCCAGGGCGGGCAGCACCGTTGCTAAGGTTACGCATTTTGCACCGCCCTCCCTGTCCACTGTGCCGGCCCCCTGGGTAGGCATCCACTCTGAGGGGCTGGAGTGTGGTCAGTGAGCATGCTAGGGGGACCTGGACAGCCAGACTTGTCCCCTGAGATCTCCTGTCTGCCCTCTTACTCTCCCACCCTGCGCTGTGACCCTGAGCACAGGACTCCCCTCTCTGCACCTCCTTTCCTCATGTCCACATAGCTCCGGAGGACTTCAGGGTCCTGGGAGGTGAGGCAGCGATTGCACTGGGTGGCCTTGTGGAGCGTGGGGTGCACCTGTGCCCTGGCCGCTCTGCATAAACAGGTTCAGTGCCAGCGAGCTGGCAGAGCTGGGAGCAGACCATGGGCACCTCAGGGGGAGCCCAGCGGGATCTGAGATAGCCAGATAGCCGGCACCCACCTTCCAGATGCTCCCCCACCACCACCACCAGTTTGGATCCCTGGGGTATATCTTCAAGTCCATGCCAGTCTCCCTGGGGTGGGGACCTTAAGGCTAGAGGGCCGGAGTCTACTGTGAAAGTGATTTCTCAGTAGTCATGTGACCCTTCACCAGGCATTTGACCTCTTTGGTAGGTCACCGCTTTGTCATCTGAAAGATTCAGAAGAATCTTTTTAGGGTTAGCCCTGGCCTGGGACTCCCGGAAGAGCACAAAAGAGGTGCAGGGCACCCCCTACTGCTCACAGTCCCAGCAGCAGGATGGGACTTTTCTGTGGTCTGGAGTCTGGCTTTGCCTCAGCTACACTCTCTCAGCTGCCTCCAGCCCCCACCTGCAGGATCTCCTGGGGGTATCTGGCTGGTCACTGAAGGGGTTAAGCAACTTCTCCATCCCTGTCCTCATGGTACCCAGATTCCTGGGTCTGCCCCAGCAGTACCCCGCTAGACTGTTACCCTAGGAGATGCGGAAGGAAGTGCACTGCTCCAGGAAGCTCCCTCCCCTGCCCACCCTTCACCATGGGACCCTCAGTTTCCCTCTAGACCTCATCAAAAATGGGGCCAAAGAAGTGCTGGCGACACCACTTTTGCCACTTTGCGAGCTGCCGCAGTGCCAGTCTGGGTCTGGGCAGTTGGCATGGAGGGTTTGGCAGGAGCTGTTGGTGGGGGAGTCTTGGTAGAGTTATCTTCCCTTTTAAATTCTGATCACAGAGGAGAAAAATAAGTATAGGGAGAGATATGTATATGATGAATGTTCACTTGGAATTCAAAAAACCAGCTCTGCATGTACAAGGAAAGGCCCACAGAAACACACACACGAAAGCAAAATCCCAGAACAGCACAGGCGATAAGAGGGGGAAACAACAACCACAACAACAACCCACACAACTCAAACATTTCTATCCGTTACACAGGGGGTCTGGGGTGGGGGGACAAAAACAGGAACGGAAAAGAAGACACAAACAAGAAGAAAGTCAGGAAGAAGTGGCATCGACTTCCCCACCCGCCCCCTCATCTGCTAAACAAGAGATGGCACCACAATATTACCACCGTTTCAAATGGGAGGCTAAAAAACAAACAAAAACAGACCGGGTTAAAAAAGGTTGAGCTTTGCTTTCTTCCTCTTTTTTTTTTTTTTTTTTTGATATTCCGTTTGTTTCTTGCGCTCTTTCCCCCTTAAAGGTAGCATCCAAAAATACCGCCCCCCAGCACCTGTTCCCAGACACACTTGTGGTGGCCCCTGTTCTTGCCACACTTCCCTGGGTCTAAGGGGCGACTGGCTTCAGCCATTGCGCACACAGTCTTCCTAAGAGGGGCGTGGCAACGTGGCAGGGAGAGCAGGCAGAGTGCAGGAGAGAGACCTGGGGCGGCTCCTGGCTTTGGGGGTCCTGCTTAGGGCTGTTGCTTTGTCAACGGTAGAACATTTCCCAGGGCAATGTCACAATGGAGTCCCACTTTGGAAGAACACAAGACTTCCTTCCTGAAGGTACCGGGTCCCCTTATCTGACTGTTCCTCCAAGGAGTGGGGTGGGGTGGGGTGTGTGGGTGGGTGGTTGAGGGATGTCTAGTTAATCACCCGTGGCCATTTTCCCTGCATGTGCCCAGGCCCCAGCAGGGGTGGGGGCAGGGGGCTGCTCAGTTGCCACCCCAGAGTGGGAAGGGGCCTCCATTCGGCCCTGGCTTGATGAGAACCTGGGGTTCTGTACCTTCAGGAGGATGTGCAAGAAGGTGTTCGGGCCACTGCACCTTTAGGGCTCTGTGTCTGGGGGGTGGGGGCCGGTGCACCCTCTTCCTGGGGTTGACCAAGCCAGGGCTGCATCTCTAGGCCCCAGGACCTAGCCCAGCCCCAGCTATGCCCGCAGTGTGCCCTCTGCCAGTTTGAGAGAGCCCCAAGCCCCTGTGGTGTTCCCCACATGACCCAGCCAGGCCCCACAGAGCCCAGCAGCCTGGTGCCTGGCCAGGAGGGACAGTCCTTAAATAAAAATGACCCTTGAGGCCAAGAACCTCTGCCAACTGCCCTTGACTTTCCATCTCTGAGGCCTTGGGGTGGAGGTGGGGGTGGGGGAGAGTGTTTGAGAAAAGAAAAGAAGTGAAAGGAAACAGCCAAAAATCAAAATGAAACTGACCAACACGTGGGTATTTGCTGCTGAGATCAGAGGTCTGGGGAAAAGCAGTCCCTACTCCCCTCTGAGGCGGTGGGACAGGGGTCTTGGAGGAACCTACAGACCACCCCACCCAAGGCCCCTGTGACCAGCCAGTGACCCTGCCAATCCAGCAACCCTTCCTTTCTGAGGGAGCTCCACCCGACACTCTGTGACCAACAAATACAAGCATTGTGGAGCTTGCCCTGGAGGTTGGGAGACCCCCCCCACTCTCGGCTCAATCTACCTGCACCTGGTGGGAGGGCCGAGAGGTCAGATGGGGACAGATTTAGGGGCCAGGTAGGAGTCCTGGTGGCATAGGGGGTTGGTTACATGTTGGGCTGCTACCTACAAGGTCAGCGGTTTGAGACCACCCAATGCTCTGCAGGAGAAAGACAGGCTTTCTGCTCCTGTAAGGAGTTAGGGTCTCAGAGAGCCAGCAGGGCAGTTCTACCCTGCCCTCTTGGTTCGTTGAATCTGCATCAGTTCCATGGCAGTGGATTTGGTTTTGGTGTGGTTGGTGTGAGCTCTGGGAGGGCGCTATAGGCTAGGGGAGGGCTGTATAACAGGTATGGGCTGCGGGTCACTTGAGACATCGTGGGCTGGGTCCCTCCGATCCCGCTCAGTGGTGGCAAGTGACTGAGATGAGGGAGGGGGTCCCAGAGTTAGTGGCTTGGTGCAGAGAGGACTTTAGCCCAGGTGCCCCACCCCCGGGGAAAAGTCTATGGAATAGTTCTCTGTCTCTGCCATAGTCCTGGGGGACTGGGGCGGCGGCGGGAGCCCCGAATTCCTGTCCCTGCTGTTATCCCACCTTGCTGGACAGTGGTCAACCCCTCTCTGGCCTTCCGCTTGCTTGCCCAGCTCAGGGGCTCTAGCACTAGTATCAGCCAGGCCTCCCCCACACGGAGTGAGGGGGCGCGGGAGTGAGGTGTGCACGCCCCGCCCACCGCGCCCAGGTCACCGTGCGCCCCGCCCCTGCCCGCCGGTGGCGCGGCAACGCTGGGGACAGCGGAGCGTACGTACATCGGACGGGGTGTGTGGCGGGCCCGGGCGGCCCCCCGGCGCTCCGCTGCGCTGCCCGCTGCCGCCGTTCTGCTGGGGCGACCCCCATCCGCTGCCCCCGGACGGGGAAGGCGACCGGCTCCCGCTGGACCGCTGGCTGCCTGTCCTCCGTCCGTTGTCTCGGTGCCTGGGGCTGAGCCTGCGGGATCGGGGCGCAGGGGATGGGGGTGGGGGTGGCGTGGGGCGCCTATTCTGCCAGCGGCCGTTCTCCGTCAGAGGGACCACCCGTTGAGCCAGCCCTGCACTCCACTCCCTGCTGTCGAGTTAGTTCTGGTGGCATGGTGGGTTATGCATGGGGCTGCTAGCGACAATGTCAGCAGTTCGAACCCACCCGCCGGCCTGCTGTCTGCTCCCGAAGGAAGTAGAGTTACAGTCTCAGAAGTACACAGAGTGGGTGGGCTCTACTCTGCCCTATAGGGTCGCCAAGAGGGCCAGACCTGCGCTTGTTGATTTCCAACCCGTCCTCCAGTTGTGGACACCGCCCCGCCCACCCCAGACCTGCTTCGCGGAGGTCTGTCTGGCCACCCAGACTCCCCTGACTCCCTGTCCCCAACCCCCTCGCAACAAGAAACAAAAAAACCGGCCCAGCTTACCTGCTAGGTGACCGGGAATCACTGCAGTGGGAGGAGAGGGTGGGGCTGTGGGAGCTGCCGCTGCTGTGCCGGTGGGACCGCCGGCCTGGGGACTCCCCGTGCAGCCTGGCATAGGGGAGAGAAGTCAGCCGGTCCCTGCTTTCATTGACCATCTGGGGACTCTTGGCTTCTCCCGGCCTCAGTGACTGCATCTGGGAGGCCTGACTGCCCGCTCTTTCTAGAGGCTCGGGATGGGAGGCTGGAGAGGGAGACGAGGCAGGGAGCCGCTCACCTCTTCCTCGCTCTGTTCTTCTCTTTCCTTTTGCCCTTGGGGCTTCGGGATCTGCAGAGAGCAGAAGTCTCAGTGAGCCTGGAGTCTGAGCAGGGCCAGGGAGGTTGGGCCTTTGAACCCTGGCACCCCGCTGCCCCCTCTTAGGGCTCCTTTCCTCTCCCTCTCCTCCCTTTTCACTCTGCCAGGCCTCAGCTTACCTTCTCTGTCTCCCCAAGATCCACCACTTCCTGCCTGGGTCCCAGTCACCGCTCCTCCAGCAAGGGGTTGCCACCCCACAAGGAGGAGGCGGTGGCTGAGGCTGGGCCAGGTTGACAGGGCGACCCCCTTATACTCACATAGTCTTGGAAGCCCCAGGAGCAGTTCTACCCTGTCCTATGGGGTCACTGTGAGCCGGCATCGACTCGAGGGCACTTTGGTTTTCCCGTTTCGTCCTTTGGGCAGGGGCCTTGGAACAGGCTCTAACGCACAGCAGTGGTGGCGGGGCCCCTCTGTACCTCATTGCTGTCTCCCTGGTCCCCTCAGATGGGGCCTCTCAGAGCCTTGGGTCAGTTCACTCCTAGGACGTCCTCTTCTGGATCTCTATCCTGTGCTGCCCTAAACTATCCCCCACCCCTCGCCAGCAGTGCCTTCTGGCTTAAACAAAAGGTTTAAGAAGGTTCTGATGAGGTCTCTCTCAGGTCTCCCAGCCCCTCCTCTTGGCTACCCCAGCCAAGCCCCTCCAGTGCTGAGCCTCCTTCTGATCCCGAGACCCCCAAAGGTGATGCAAAGAAGCCCAAAGATGTGCTTCCTACAGGACTGGGGCAAGGGTGGGGGTGGGCAGGCCAGAAGGACAGAGGCTTGGCTTCTGGGACTGAGCTTTCCTGCTTTGAATCTCAGATTCCCCATCTGGCTCTAGCCCATCTCTGGGTTCCTTCCAGAAAGACGGAGGCTGGCCAGCAGAGCTGAGTCAACTCTAAGTGACCACTGGGGGGCATCAGGGGCCCACATGGCCCACACGGGAGGAGGCTGGACTTAGGGCAGTGGTTCTCAACCTTCTTAATGCCGCGATCTTTTCATACAGTTCCTCATGTGGTGGTGATGCCAACCATAAAATTATTTTCGTTGCTACTTCATAACTGTCATTTTACTACTGTTATGAATCGTAATGTATGGTAAATATCTGATATGCAGGATGTATTTTCATTGTAACATATTGAACATAATTTAACATAATTAAAGCATAGTGATTAATCACAAAACATTATGTAACTATCTATTGTGAAATATTTATGTGTTTTCCAATGGTCTTAGGGGACCCCTGTGAAAAGCTCATTTGACCCCCAAGGGGTTGTGACCCACAGGTTGAGAACCACTGACTTAGAAGTCAGAAGGGGCCAGATTAGGCATGTTTTAGGCCCCTCCCCTACCAAGCAAATGGTTTTTTGGACAGTTTCCCACCGATGAGATGGGACTGGCTGCCAGGGCGAGGGTCAGCTGGAACATCACCCTGAGATTCGACTGCCCCAGAGCAGGCAACCCTTCATACCTTCTCAGTCTCCCTTACTCATCTCTGTCCTCCTGGGCCACCTTGCCTGGGTTAGGACAACTGCCTCTGCCTCTCCCCCCCCCCAGTACACACACCATCCATCTGGAGTAAGTCACTGCCCTGCTCAGAGCCCTCTGCTGGCATCCAGTCCCACCTGGGTAGAGGCCAGTTCTGTGACCTTGGCCCCAAGCCTGTGTGTGTGTGCTCGGGGTAGGGTGTGTGTGCTGGCACTTGCCCACTACAAATTCCACTTCTAGCCACAGCTGGCCCTCTGGCTCTCCTATCCACTGGGCCTTCTCCTTTCCTTAGGCTCTTGGACACCTGCTGGGTGGTCTGGAAAGTCTGGAGACCACAAGTCAGCTCCAAGGAGGGACAGGCAGCTGTGGCCACTGGTTGGCCTTCCTCCCCTCCCCCACCCCCCCTCCCAGGCCTAGTGCTGGGGCAGGAGTTCATACCTGGGGTGGGAGCACAGAGCAGGGGAGGGCCCTCCCTCCCTACTGCCTCTCCCTCAGCACCCTCCCCTCCCTGCTTCCTTCGAACCTTGGCCCCCTGAGGGGAGCTCTATTGGCTATCCACTTCCTCCCTGTCACCCCTGCACAGGGCCCCCCTCACCTGTGCCGTCTCTTCCGCTGGGACCCAGAATCAGACCTGTAGGGTGATGAAGAGGGTCTCCTGAGCCCATAACATGCCTATGCAATTCTCAGCTCCATCCAAGAGGGAGGCCACCTCCACAGAAGGGGAGTGGGGGGTGCTTGCTGGGGTGGGGGTGGGTGGAGGGGAGGGGGCAGGTCCCTGTCTCTGGGGGGAGGGAGAATTGGGTACCTGTTTCTGCGGTGCTTCCTCACACTCCTCTTCTTTTTGCGCAGGGGGGAGACACTCCCATAACTGGGGGCCCAAAGAGAGCAGGCTTGGTGAGGCTGGGAGTGGTGGGGACCTGGGGCCTGGTGTCCTGAAGCTCGAAGCAGGACTCCAGCCATGACACCACCTGCCCCTTATATAGCAAGGACCTGAGGTCCCAAGGATGGGGAAGGGCCCCAATAGTGGTAGATGGTGCTTGTCCCCCAGTCACCCTTCCAGCCCCCCAACTGTAAAAGAGGGCCAATCACACCCAAAGGGTGGGGAATCCCCTGATGGGTCTCCTAACATCTAGGGGGAGGGGGAGGTGGCACCTTGGCAGGCCCCCAGCACCCATGTTCTCCGGGGCCACACCTCCTGCACCTGGGGGAGGGGCCTGGGGTCTCTGTCACCCACTCAGACTGCCCCCATACCAGGGCCCTGCCCCACTGACCTGCACTCTGAGTCTAGTCTCCTCTTTTTGCTGAGGGTGGATGGCCACGCAGAAGGAGAGTCAGACAAACAGACAGACAGACAGACAGGTGGACAGGGTTAGTTAGGCAGCTCACCCCTGGCCTGGTCTCAGCTCGAGGCAGGGGAGGTGGCTCAGGCAAATGTCTGCCCCTCAGGCCACTCCCATTGTGGTGGTGGATTCAAGATCCCCGGGAGGAGGGAGGAACCTGAGAGCCGGTGAATGGCGACCTGAGGGGGGGGCTATGAGTTGGGTGTCCAATTCTGAGGTCAGGTGTGTAGAAGGGGGGATTGCTCAAGGAGAGGCGGGGTTCACAGGTGGACGGGTTGTCCCCTGCTGCCCCTCCAGGCTCCTCACCGGCTTCGGCGGTGACCTCCTTTCTTCTTCTTCTTCTTCTTGGGAGGGGGTGACGCCGAGCTGCTGGACCAGTGCTTGGTCCTGGGCGAGAAGGTCCAGGGGAAGGTTGAGAGGCGCCCGTGAACCCGCCCCTCTGCACCCCCCTGCCCCCTGCCCCCGGCTGCCGCTGACCTGTAGCCCCGAGGGCCGCGGTAGCAGGCGGCCGGGCAGTCGCAGTCCACCGGGCCGCCGTCCTTCTCGAAGGGCCCGCACTCAGGGCCAGACTCGCCGCCCTCCGTCAGCCGCGGGGTCTCCGCCACGCTGCAGGCGACAGCACCCCGTTCACGCCCCCCCACCCTCGCCCGCCCTCCGCACGGCTGCAATCCGCGGGCCCCCGACCCCGCAGGGCCCTGGTGTAGACAGGCCTGGACTGACAGCAGGACCATCAGACAAAGAGAAGCGAAAAGCAAGCCATGCCCTCGCCCCTTTCTAAGCTCCAGCGTGGAGACCCATTCTCCTTCATGAGGCCCCGCCCTTCGGGTAGACCCTCCTGTGGCTGAGCCTTCTCCTTCAGCCCCACCCGTGAGCACCGAGTCCCCCACCCCTGGGCCCTTCCCCCACCTGGCTCTTCCCTTGCCCAGTCTCCCCCCAGGTCTGTCCCTCCCTAACCCTGTTGTCTCCTCCTGTGCCCCTCCCCCTGTGGGGACGTCTCCCTTCCCCCACGCTCTGCCCTATCGCCCACAACCCGCTGGGCGCGGTCTGAAATATTGCTAGCCCGAACTTCTCGCCCTCCCCAGCGGCCCCCTGGAGGCCTGGCGCTGCTGCCTGGATGTCCCCATCAATCACTGCCAGCCTTCTTGGCTCACTGCCCATCTTGGATGCATGCATCCATCCATTTTGTGAAGGGCTCCCTCCACGCCTGTCAGTGTGCTGGACTCAGGCGCCCCAGCCACCCTGGGTCACAGATGGCAGCCTCTACACACATACACCCACTCCCCTTTCCTACAGGCCACTGGCCTTAGGGCAAGAGCATGCCTTGAGCCAGTAGGTCCATTGGCCTTTCTCACTTGCTGTCCCTCACGGCCCTCTCTCTGAGTTTCCCCTCCAGGATGAGGCTGATTAACAGGCTGTTGGAAGGACACTCAATGGGCAGTGATGGGTGCTGGGAGTCCCTGGTGCTGCCAGTCGTGAATTCATGGGCTGATCCAAATAATGGGGCTTCGTGTCCATGGAGAGCTGCCCTGGAAGCAAGGACCTACTGCTGAAGAACCGGCTGTTGAGTCACACGGAGGCCAGTTCTACTCAGACTCTCAGGGGTCCTTCCCTCTGGGAGACCTGTAGGTCCACTTCCCAGCCAACACCCCACTGGCCCAGCCACCCCATCTAAACGCAGAGGCCTGGGTGGTGCTAGGATCTGGAACGGGTGTCAGCAGAGCTTCTGGACTTAGATGGGCTGGGAAGGAAGGCCTGGTGACCGAGTTCCAAAGACTGGCCAATGAAAACCCCATGGAGTAAGATGGCCTGGTCCACAGTCCATGGTGGGGCGGGGCGGGCCTGGGGAGTATCTGGTCCCATGAGCAGGGGCCAGCCGTCGGAAGCCAGTGCAGGCAGCTTCTTATTCCAGGGGACCAGGCCCGGGGACACAGGCTCCAGAGTGGTGACCCCTGAAGCTTCATTCATCATCGACTCTAGCTCAGACAGGGCCCCTCAGACAGCCCTGGCGCCTACGTCTCCTGCTCAGAGCCAGAGAAGTCAGACTTGATGTGAGGGGTGGGTGGTCATGAGACAGGTCTGACTGCAGGCCTGACCACCCTCCTCATCTACAGAAGGAGAGCCCAGGTGAGAGGGGCAGATTCAGAATGATTCTGTCTGTGAAGCCACTGGCACTAGGCCTAGCTCCCAACTTGGGTCTCATAACTGTAGCCACTACTAGACTTAGGGGTCTGTGTGGGACACTAGGGAAAAAGATGGGGCTCCCTGAAGAGTTACAGTCTCAAAAAGGCACAGGGCCTGTTCTACCCTGTTCCTGTACTCCCTGCCAGAGAGACAATGCTCACTCTCAGCAACCCCCTGTGGGTTTCTGAGACTATAACTGTTCACGGGAGCAAAAAGCACAGTCTTTCTCTTGTGGAGCTGCTGGTGGGTTTCAAACTGCCAGCCATGAGGATCAAAGTCCAGTGCATAATCACTACACTACCAGGGCTCCATAGGGTCGCTATGAGTCAGCATCAACTAGATGCCAGTGGTATTCAGACACCTTCCCTGGCAGGGAGACTTCTGTTTCATGTGAAAAAGAGCCAGTGTGAATGGAGGCTGGCTGGCCCCTGGGTCAGAAAAGGGACAAAGCTCTGGTGGGGGGACCCACAGGGTGAATCTTTGAAGACAGTAGCTGAAGTCTGACAGGGTAGCTACCTTGAGGCCAGTCTCAACAAGGGCATTCTGTTCCTGCCCTCCAAGCTGGTCCTGGCAGCCCTGACGTCACCCAGAGTGATAGCAGACTTTGCAGGGGGTGATGGAGGAGAGCAATATGGCATCCCCCTGCCCACCCAGAGTTCACCTACATCCCTTCAGTTTAGCCTCTGCTCTTCGCCACGCCCCCTCCCTGAAACAAGTGGCCTCCTACCTCCTGTCCTGGAGAACCCTCAGTCTGCTCGTCAGCCTGCCTCGCCTCCCGTGGCCGCCCCAGGGTCAGAAACCGAACACTCAAACAAAAACCAAACAAACAAAATCCCTCCAGATTCCTTATCCCCCAAAGCTAAATCACGGTTTGAGTGGCTTAGAAGGGAAAAAAAAAAGAAGAAGAAGAAGAAGAGGAAAAGTTCCATTGAAATGGACTCGGGTCTTCAATGACAAATAATCTCAACAACAAAAAATTAACCCAAACAATATTCCCCACCCTCCTTCCAACCATCAAGTCAGTTACAATTCAGGGTAACCCTGTGGGATGGGGTAAAACTGCTCATAGGACTTCTGAGATGAAGTGTGGGCGCTTCACAATCTGTTATCAATTTGAGACTGATGAGTGAAGGGGTGGAGTTTAGCCTGTCAATCAGGTGGCAGCTTGATGACCTCATTTGGAGGCGCTAAGGAGATAAATAGCTTGCTTGAGGGGGGACTCAGGCTGACTTCCTGGGAGACATTCCAGCTGACAAGACACAAGGAGACAGGCTGATGGGAGCCAGAGGCTCAGAGATGGAGAAGCCACATGGAGACCAGCACTGAGATGCTTACACCACCACTGGATCCACAAGACTTCCCACCCACTGGCCTGTGATCTTCCTGCATTCAGTGTCATTGCATGTGTTTCGTGAGTCTGAAGAGGACTTTATAGATTGGTATCGGACATATGGGCTAATATTGGACTTATGGACTTGATCTGCACCGGGATGGGATGTTTTCTTAATGTACAATTACTCTTTATATAAAGCTCTTTCTTATACACATAGGAGTATCTATGAATTTATTTCTCTAGTCTACCAGACTAACACAAGCAGCTAGCTTCATCTTTTTCTCTCAAATGACGCGGTGGGTTTGAACCACAGACTTGGCAGTTAGCAGTCCAATTCTTAATCCAATGTGCCACCAGCCCTCCTAGTAAGACAGAAAACCCAAACCCATGACCATTGACTCAATTCCAACTGAGAGAGGGCCTCCACAGAGTTTCCCAGGCTGTAAATCTTGAGGGGAACAGTTAGCTGCATCCTTCTCCACCAGGAGCAGCTGGTGGTTTTGAACCACCACTCTGTGCTTACCCAAGGCTCCTTGAAAAACATAAACAAACCAACAAAGAAAACTGTCATTGAGTCAATTCTGACTCCTAGTGACCCTACAGGACAGGGACGACTGCCCCTTGTGAGTTTCCAAGCCTGTGACTGTTCACGGGAGTAGAGAGCCCGTCTTTCTCTCAAGGTGGTTTCAAACTACGGACCTTTTGGTTAAGCAGCACAACTTGTAATCCATATGCCACCACCAAGGCCCATAAGGGCCTCTCAAATATTGGTGGGAGGAGGGAGCTCCTGTTTATTCGGATAGGAAACAATGAAGGCTATTTACAGAAGAAGAAAGGAGGAGGGTCAGGAGGAGGAGGAGAAAAAGGAGAAACATCCTTTTAATTTGGGTTTGGCCTCTTGCAGGAATCCTTTCTTGCCTTCCAACTTGCCAGCTAGGGTCACCACAGAGCCCACGTCTTGCTTTCACTGTCACCCCCACTCCTCTTTCCCTTCTTAATGCCTGGTCTCAAACCAAACCAAACTGACTTCCACCAAGGCATGCGAGCCTAGCAACTCCTCCTGCGGGTTTCGGAGGTCGGGGTGCTGTCGGCTGTGCTTCTTGTTTCAGGCTCTAGGCCACTACTCACCCTCATCCGGGAAGTCGATGACAGGGGAGGGGTCAGCCCCTCTTCTGCACCAAAAACCAAACTCATTGCCTTTGAGCCCATTCCAACTCACAGCGACCCTAACGGTCAGAGGATCACTGCCCCCTGCGTTTCTGAGACTCCCTTACAGGAGTAGAAAGATTCACTTTTCTCCTACAGAGTGGCTCACTGTCTCGAACTGCTGACCTTGTGGTTCGTAGCCCAACACTTCACCCCCTATGCCCTAGTCCGTCTTGGCAGAGATCAAATAGAGGCTCTCAGAACTGGCCAAGCTCAGCTCCAAGGAACCAGGTTGTGCTCATCGCAACGCCCAGGACACCAGGATTGGGCCGATGGCACCCGCTCTGGGCAGTGCTTCCTCCGGGAAAGACAGCCTGTCCCACATCCTGTCATGCCAGCATGAGGCTGATTCCCTGGCTGGGTTTCCCAGTAGCTAAGCGCATGCTGGCCAAGTGAGAGCTGATTGTGCCCAGACCGAGGTGGGGAAGGACCTCTTCTCACCCACCCAGTCATCATGCCAGGCCTGCTGGGAGCCCCGGGCTGGGGGCTGTGCAGGAAGCAGGGATGAGTTGGGCCTGGGGCCACTCTCTAGCCCCCAGTGCAGGGGACACACATAGGGCCCAGGTTACACATTATACTAATGACTAACTCAGGAACTGGCCGGGGAGCATCTAGCAAACAATTAGCGCAGGTGTCAAGTCCACTTGTGAGCACTTCACCGGCGGATGTAATGTGTGCACAGAGCATCACCCTACAGAGAAAGGAACGAGTCCCCGAGAGGTCCAGGGACTTGCCTGAGGTCACTCTGTATACAATTAGGTGCCTAGCAAAAGAGAGAAAGAACTCTGTTTTGGAAGAAGTACAGCCAGAATGCTCCTTAGAGGCAGGGCTGGGGAGACTCGGTCTCGTGTACTTGGAAAGACTAGTCCCTGGAGGAAGGAAGGAC